GTATATTTTATTTTATTTTTGATTTACAGCTTGATTCCACACCGTATTTTCAGTACAAGTGTGGAATTTTCAGCATGGATATCGGTAGCCCAAATTCAGGCCGACCATAGATATCGGGTGTGCGCCGGCAGGGGATCGAACCCCGGACCATGTGCATGGTCGGCGAGAGTCCTAACCACTGTGCCACCGACGCCAATCCATCTCCATTTCTTCCTGCTTATTTGTTTCACAATCGGTTCCCTCTGGGTTGGCTTGCTCCCAGAGATCCCTATTGCTGATCTCCTCTGGCTGGCCATCTGATCTTGAGTAGTACTGAGCGAAGACAACTGTTAACGAAGGTCTGTAGTTTGTTTGAGGTGCTCTTTATGACGCGCTGGCTAAGTCTCTGATCCGTATAGTAGCACTGACTGACTTCACATTGGAGTTGAAAATCCGGATCTTATCTTTGATGCTGATTACTGTTGACCTCCACACACACTTGAGAGCTTTGATTATTGATACAGAAATACAAGACAGATATCATCCTTGATATCAGAATAGAACGTAGGCATTAGGGTAGAGCGTAATTCCATCAGAGAGTAGATTTATTTACGTCAGATTCACTCTTCACACTGCATTAAACTTAGTGTACTACTGATGAGTTTTCCCTCAGAAGCAGGGAATTAGCCGGACGTTGCGTAAGATCATTTTTGTCTGGATGACAAGAATTCGTGGTTTACATCAGTAGTCTGCAACTATTCATATCAATCAGTAGTACTAGACACCGTCTAGGTTAATTCTTTCTTGATAATGTTGTAAACTTTTTGAATGAGACAGTTTTTCTAGCTGAGAGTATTTGGTACTCAACCTTTAGATGAATTCTAGTGACCATAAAGACTATTTTTAAAAATGGACAGTTTTCAGTATATGATCCAAAGTCCGACGAATGGCCTGAGTACCCATTAAATAAGTAAAGAACTTGAAAATAATGAGTTAGGGGAAATAAATGATAAGACATGAGTTAAGGTTACATTTGAAAGCAGCTCACTTAACTAATTCTTTTTCCACATATTAATTTGTTTGAAAAATTAAAACAAAAATAAACCAATTAATTTTCCAAGAGTTAGTCTGTAAAGAGATTGTATTTGTTTCAAGTTTGACCAGAGAATTGTTTTCAGGCAGAAAACCACTGAAATTCATGGAGTACTGTACAACGTTTTCGTCCTAGTTTGTGATCCATCGGCAGTATCCACCCACCACTAGGGTGCTAACCTAGGACCTTCTGATTACAAGGCAAGGTTTTACACCACTCGGACACGGTGAAATGGCCTATGAATTCCAACATCTACCGATTCTTGATTTTGGTACGACAATCAGCCAATGTCATTGGCGAGTATCTGTGCCCAACACCGACCGGGTAGACTCCACTGGTTACGACTTCTGAGTAGAACTCCGGAAAATTTCATCCAATCCAATAGCACACAAGAGGAATTGCATACAAACATTATTCAAGAGGGTCAAGACTCATTGAAGCACTCCCACCTTAATGAAAATTGAAGAAAAATACCTCATGGACGTCTGTCTTCCAAAAGAATGGATATCCACGGAATTTCATCAAAAGACATATACCCCCAAGCCAACCTATTAAACCAAAATCCCCCAAGGAAAGTACAAAGAAAATCACCCCACCATATAAAAGGATATCTCAGAAATCACTGCAAGACTCTTCAAACCTTTAGGAATTGACGTCCCATACAAACCAACAAAATCACTTCACTCAATTCTATGTCAATCGAAAGACACAACAGCGAAGGAAGATAAAACCGACATCATCTACAAAATAAATTGTAACAACTGCGAAAAGCACTACATTGGCCAAAGTGAACGTCCCCTTCGTCTTCGTATCCACGAACATAAGCTAGCTGTCAAAAGACATGATATCCACTCCCTCATATCGCCACACCGCATACAGACAACCACGGACATCAATTCAAATGGGACAACGTTCAAAAATTAGACAGAGGAAACAACAAGAATGCTAGAGAATTTTTAGAAGCCTGCCTGGTATTCCAGTGAATCATCAATCAAAAGACACATCGAGATTGACAAAATTTATCAACCGATAAGAAAGAAACCTCACACACAAAGGGTCAAAGTTCTAGTCAAAGAAACAATGAGTGACAATACAAATAACCTAGAAGGTGTGAAAACACACAAAAACAACCGACCACGTCCAAGGTCACCCACCAGGAGAGATGATTAATAAACTGGTGGAGAAATCTAAAAGCTCACTTCATCAAATTGAAGTATGCTCTGAAGATGTCTCCTAGTAGGGCGATGAAAGCTTCGCAAATTAACTATCTAGCTCAGAGAACACAACCACATCAAAAATTCATCCTGTATCTAGTCACTAGGAAGCATCGGAATAATTCTGAAGAGTTAACTTGTAGGAATACCCAATACTTCCTGGTTTTTGATGCTTCTTTAACTGTTATCAATCCGTGATCAAACTTGAAGTCGATTATTGATTAGAAGTACACTTAACTGTCAAGTGGGCTAATATATTCACTTCGATTAGCTAATTCAAGACCTAAACTACTGTTATTTATTCGGTCAGATATTACAGAGCACCAGATTATTATTATTGTTCCCGTGGGTTCCTAGTGGAACATAGGGCTTCAACTGCACGTCTCCACTTGCTTCTGTCTTCTGCTGTCCCCTTCACCTGCATCCATGTTAATCCATACTGTTTCACTTCCTCATCACACGATCTCCTCCATGTCACCCTTGCACTGACGTCCCACTCGCCGCTTCCCTTTCGGGTTCCACTCGAGCATTGGCCTGACGCGCAATGTCACCCAGCAGCCTCCTCCGTGAGTGTCCAATCCATCTTCACTTTCACCTGCATATTTGTTCAGCGATTGGTTCTTGTTTTGTTTGTTCCCATAGTTCCTTGTTGGTGATTCTTTCCGGCTATCTGATTGATCTTCAGCATAGAGCGAAGACAGTTGTTGATGAAGGTCTGCAACAGGCTGTTGGAAATATTCTTTGCGACCCACCAAGTTTGTGATCCGTATAGAAGAACTGACTGACTTGACGTTTGTATTGAAAATCCGAATTTTGTTGTTGTTGTTGTTGAGTGACGAAGATTTCCAGATTGGTTTCAGGTTGATGAATGTGTTTCTCGCCTTCCCGTCCCGATTCTCGATTTGATATCCTCGTCCGTTCCTCCTGTAGTTGAGACAATGCTTACTAGATAAGTGAATGAAGCAAGCTCTTTCAAATCCCTCCTGGTGATGGTGATTGGCGCTGGATGTTGCTGCTATTGTTGTTGTTGTTGGATGGTTATTTTCATAACCTCCGTCTTGTCTATGTTCACCTGGAGTCCTGTCTTCACTGCTACATAGATGTTTCAAATTCTTCTAATTTATACGTTTTATATCGAATTCTCATTATTTTCATGTTAATGTTACTCCCACTTCTGAGAAAGTAATTCAGTGAATCTGCGCAGTGTATAGCTTGAAAGTTTGTGCACAAATTATTCGTTTTGGCGGTTAGCTCTTGAGGCTCGACTTTACTAATATTATGCTGGCGGATACTTCAAGCAATGAAAGAAAATAGTTGATGGATCTGATCATCACTTCAAGGACTAATTCAAGTTGGTGTAAATGCTTCAAAGTGGGAAAAATCTATAAAAGACTGTCATGAAAATGTCTTATCTTTATTTTTTCAAATTTGAAATTTAAATCAATTTGTAATCGTTAGTGAGTTTGAAACTTCACCAAAGTTTTCGTGCATTTGTAGTTTTGCAGAAAAATCAGACTACCTTTGAAAAAGAATTCAACACTGGCAGGTAACAAAGTGAAAGATCTGTCTGTTTCCATTATAGAACTTTGCACCGATGTGCAACAGTTCAGTACGCCACATTCCCTCCATGTAGCACACAAAGCAAGGGAAGAAAGTACAAGGAATGCAAAATAAAGACAGTAGACAGGGATATGAGACAAAAGGAATAGTAATAACGAAGAACAAAATGGTTTCATTGGGTATTATTAGTCACAAGGAGTGGATGCATCTGCTCTATTCCTTGAGAACGATTTTGATCCATATCACCAATTGTTTCCAGCTACTGGTTTTTACCGTCCCGAGAACCCCAACCAGTCAGGATTCTACACCTTCCTACGTGACTGGCTGGCCAGCTTAAACTAACTGTTGTGGATTTCATTGATTGATGAAGCCATGTTTTGGTTTGACCACCGCTAGCTCTTTTTCAACCTGATCATTCCTAAGTCAGCTAACATTGCCTGAATAGGAAGGCGATGACTAGACTAGGCATACGTGGCACATGTCCTAACCATCTCAGTCGATGTAATTTCACAGCCTCGTCTGTTGATTTCCCTTCCCTACCTAGCACTCGACTGAGGCTCAACCTCAATATTGCTCACCTTATTATACCACTTCACGCGGAAGATAGAACGCAGACACCTATGATCACAGACAGGTAACTAGCCTTTTCATGTCCTCCACTCTCAATGGCCAAGTCTCACAGCCATAAAGGGGGAGGGAGTGGACTGCTGAGCAGTACACCCGCCCTTTGGTCGATGACCGGATTTCACGTCTACTAGAGCAGAGATGGCATAAACTGTCATATGCGAAACTAGCCCTCTATATCTGTGCTGAGATTTCGTCAGCGATCAAACCGTTGTGTCTGGGTTGAAAGGTGGAATTTGACTATGGTGTTTTTGAAACTGTAACTGTCACAAATGACAGTTGGCCAAAATTGGGTTAGCCTAGACTGATTCCCTTCTTCAAGCTAAGTTAAAATTCGGTACATCACTGACGAACTCCAACCCAAACGAATAAAACGTTTGTAAGAAGTTTAGATCACTTAGATTTGGCTAGTAGCCCCTATTGGTTGATGTGAGTGGTCTCCAACTATTTATATCAAATAATCAGTGGTATGTACCAGCATACATTAAACTGTTTTTCTAAAAAAACTAAACTTCATATATACTACTTACCAGCTAATATGAGTAGTACCAACGAGAGAACTATTAATCTTCTTGTTCTAGATACTCCACAAATAATGGAGACAAAGGTAAGAAGACCAGATGATCCAAGTAAAATAACCGAGATTACACAGAATGACAGTTGAATTTTTTCGCCATTTGTTGAAGTGTCTGTATGAAGAAAGAAAATGTGAAAAACAGCATTACAATAATTATTCCATTTGTAATATATATATATATATATATATATATATATATATATTAACATATATATTTTAAGTGATTAGAGGCAGTCAACAGCAGGACTTACCTAATATAGCTTTCGTTCTAGTTGCCACTGACTAGTCAGAAAGGGTAAGTGCGACGTGGAAGCAACTCATGCACCCTCTGAGATTCAAACCCGCGTCACTCAGTGCCACCTACATTCAGAGATGTTACAACTCAGCTATTTGGGCTGGCTCGTGACTGACCTCCTGTAGGACTAGTCAATAGCTAGTGTAATGTGTGAGTTTGCTCCTATCTTTTGTACAGACAGAACTCTATCAGACGCGGTTTTGAATCTCAGAGGGTACATGGGTTCTTCCTTCAAGGTCGCAGATGCGCCTTACCGACTGGTGCGTACCAACCAGCACGAAATCTAGGTCAGATTGAGATTCCTGCCGATTGCCTTAAACCACCTAATATCATCAGATCAATGTGCAATTTGATGGTGAGCCACCTAGTGGCGTGGTGGCCACATTGCAAACTTGACTGATAGAATTCAATCTGCATCATACAAAGGATTAGACACACTGCACTAGTCACTGACTAGTGTCCAATCAAAGTACATCTACATATTCATTTAAAGAAAGTTATTATAATCAAGCTGTGTGACACATTTGAGCATTTCACTAGTGAAATAATAAGACGCATTAGAATCTATGGTTGGACTTATTTTTCTTACTCGTAAAGCATCATCAGTAAGATGAAGATGAACTATATTGTTACAATGCTATGTTAAGTCAATAAAGCAGTTATCGTTATTGGAGGGAGTGTGATATCAGTTCATAAATATCAAATTATTGTTCCAGTGTTGTAGAAACTAACATGTGCATGAATTGCTATCAAACAAGTATACATACAGTGCTTCCCTTTTATAAATTTGAACAAAGAGAGAAGAAACATTGGCTCAGAATAATCTGGATCCATTTTATTTCGTTGGTTCTCATCAGCCGCGTAAAACCTGAATTTTTTTTATTAAAAATAAAAAATGTACAATTTTAACAAACCTTTGTCCATTACCAAGCATAGTGTCAGAGTGTCATAGTAAAATAAGGCATTGAGATTTACAGGGTGTCTAAAGTGTCACGACATATATATATATATATATATCTTGGTAGAGAGAAGTTTCTTGAAAAAAATTAGTTGACAGTTGTGTTGTTAGGGCGGTAACAAAAGACAATTAGCAGTAGTTACGTAATTAGATAAGAGAAGATCAAAATTTTAAAATTACGATGCACATGAGGTCAGATGAGAAGTTGATGATGTAATGCAGTGAGCAGAACTCAGAAGATCAAGAAAAAATGATCTCTTAAGAGAGTCAAGCGAAAATTTGTGAAGGGCGACGACATTATGGGAATGATAAATAAAAGATTAAGCGCAGTCCTGTATAGGATGTATCCTGCAGCGTTATTAGTCTCTCTATCCCGAACAACCTCCTCACTGGTGCAGTCAAAGATTGACTAATAACGCTGCAGGATACATCCTATACAGGACTGCGCTTAATCTTTTATTTATCATTCCCATAATGTCGTCGCCCTTCACAAATTTTCGCTTGACTCTCTTAAGAGATCATTTTTTCTTGATCTTCTGAGTTCTGCTCACTGCATTACATCATCAACTTCTCATCTGACCTCATGTGCATCGTAATTTTAAAATTTTGATCTTCTCTTATCTAATTACGTAACTACTGCTAATTGTCTTTTGTTACCGCCCTAACAACACAACTGTCAACTAATTTTTTTCAAGAAACTTCTCTCTACCAAGATATATATATATATATGTCGTGACACTTTAGACACCCTGTAAATCTCAATGCCTTATTTTACTATGACACTCTGACACTATGCTTGGTAATGGACAAAGGTTTGTTAAAATTGTACATTTTTTATTTTTAATAAAAAAAATTCAGGTTTTACGCGGCTGATGAGAACCAACGAAATAAAATGGATCCAGATTATTCTGAGCCAATGTTTCTTCTCTCTTTGTTCAAATAATCATTGTGAACTATGATGGAAAATTAGGCAAACATGACTTTCCAAGAACGAATCAGTTTCTTGTCAGATAATGGCTCCGACAAGGACTACAAACTGGATTCTGAGATCTTGACGATCCTCTGCAAATATCACATTTGACAATGCACAGTATTTTGTCATGCATATTGGTAATAATATCCAGTTTGAAGCCCATTACTAGCCGATAACATAATGTGTTACCTTCATGTCTCAATGTATTACTTGTTTACAAATGTTCTTTGTTCAAGTAGGCCTCATTATTCGAAAGATTTATCCATATAGGCAGATAGAAGAATAACATTTATTGAAATTGGTTAGCTTACTTATAGCACTAAAATAAAATGTGAATAAAATTACAAATAATGAAGTTCAAACAATAGCTATGTTCCTTTCTGGTATAAAAGAAATTTGATAAAGACTCTCAGCTATAAGGTTAGAACTCTTTGTTCAGAACATTCGATTGAAGACGTACTTAATGTTGTATACAAAATATTAATTGAAAACAGCTACCCTGAAAGTAGAAAAGTATTCTTACAAGGTGAGCTGGCTTGTAGATCACAATTAAGCCACTGGGACCTGATCCAATGACCAGCCCATGAATTCCGAATTCTGCTAATTCACAACATAGCGCACCCGCTAGTCAATGTCTTTGGCGAGTATTTGTCTTCACACCAAACCTGATGCAGCCTACTGGTCACGACTTATCCAATCAGTCACTACGTATTTGACTTGCAAGTGCGGTGGTGATTGATTGGATAATTAGGCAATCTACATTCAGGAACGCTGGCACAGAGTAGCACTACTAACACTTCATTGTTAGATAGACCAGCTTTCAAGAAGCTTTATTCCTTCCGTCTTCGAAATTATCTAAGAATTACTATCATAAAAATTCTGAGATTTCGCATTACCGGCAATGCTGAAGTTGTATTAACAGAGAATTTTCCTCCATCTGTTAACAAGAAGCCTATATATATGTGACTGCAAATCAAAGGTGATATACCAGGTGCAATAATAACCAGCATGTGTTCTTAATAACCAATAAGTTGTGAAAATCGATTCTAAGAACATTTAATGTCGATAGGCTACAGCTTGTGCTTTCCAGTTGTTTCCCAGTTGTGATTCCGAAACTGAATGACAAAGTACCCAGGCTAACCATCACTTATTGTACTTATCAATACACTTGCTCCTGTGAAGCCAGTTATATTGGCTGTTGGTTGCTCTGGGAACTTAATTTTTTCTGTGCTCTGAAACACTTCCCAATGTGGCTAAATAAAGATGTTTTTAAAACCATCCACAGTTCTATACTAGATCATCTTGTCCAAACAGATCGCAAAGCCAGGCACATTGAAGAGTCTTTCTCTATCATTGATCGGGTATCGAATGAATTATCAAAGACCTCTAGATATCAAACACTGCAAACAGCAGAGACTATTGCACTACGTTGAAATGAACCATAGCTCTGTGTGAAAAAGAGACAAGACCATCTACTATTGTTATCCTGGTTTGCTGTCGAACCTATAAATCCATAAATTCTGTATTACTTCTCTTAATTTATCTGATATTCAGTCAGTTTAGCCTTATATATTAGTGCAAAGTCCCTCTCTCTCTCTCTCTCTCCCTTACCGATTCTTTCGAAATGTAATCTGTTGATACTAACTATTGATTCAATGTAATTTAAAATAGCAGTAAGTGTTGTTAATAAGAATATTTCTTTAATTACAACTGCGATATAAATGTAGAACCCTAAGAAGACGAAGTTATAACAAAATGAAAATATTCTTTTCGGCTGGACACTAGTAACTAGTGTGATGTGTCCAGTCCTTTCTTTGGTGTGGACTGAATTCTATCAGTCAGTCAGGTTTGTAATGTGGCCACCATTCTAGGCAGCTCACCATCACGGTGTACATTGATTCGATGATATTAGATGGTTGGAGGCAATCGGCAGGAAGCCCAGTCTGACCAAGGTTTCGTGGCACTCAACAGTCAGCAAGGCGTATCTGCAACCTTGAAGGAATTCATGTCCCTTATGAGATTCGAACATCACACTAGTTACTAGTGTCCAGTCAAAAATATCCACTACAGTCCTACAGGAGGTCAATTGCGAGCCCGAATAGCTCAGTGGTAACGTCTCTGACTGCAGCCCTGGGTGACGTGGGTTCGAATCTCAGAAGGGACATGAGTTCCTTCAAGGTTGCAGATACGCCTTGATGATGAGTGGGTGCCAACTAGCACGAAACCTAGGTCTAAGGCTTCCTATGGCCGATTGCCTCCAACCATCTAATATTATGGAAATATTCTTTGTTTATTAATCAGTTGTTTGAGCTATCAGCTGGTTTCTTCAATCAGCTTACTCACGTAATTTACAACCAAGAACATTATGAGATTAATTTATGAAAAAAATAATCAAATTTTCTATAAAAGTAGGACGGTAAAGCCAACTTAGCTGAGTAATATTAATCAAAACATCATAACTTGTAAGTAGACGTTTCAGTGAAAAAAAAAAAAGCTCCCACCCATTGACTCAAACCATTTTTAACAATTAAATAGATCATGTCAGCCTACATCGACTAATGACGACGAACAATATGATTCGCTAATAATTAGTGCTAGTTACTCTCAATTTTCTGGATATGACCGAATATATATATATATATACTTTGATTGGACACTAGTAACTAGTGTGATGCGTCTAGTCCTTTCTTTGGCGCAGACTGAACTCTATCAGTCAAGTTTGCAATGTGGCCACCATACCAATTGGTGGCTCACCATCAAGGTGCACATTGAGTTGTTGATCTTAGGTGGTTGAAAGCAATCGGCAAGAAGCCCAGTCTGACGTAGATTTCGTGCTGGTTGGTACTCACCAGTCTACTCTATCTGTCAGACTGGATATTATTACCG